AAAATTCACACCTGAAATACAAAAGCCCCAAAGGAAGTCACACAACCTGCAACAGAAGTAACAGTGTTTGTAATAAAGGATCCAGAGACATGAGGCAAAGGACCACAGTTCAGATCTAAATCCAGGTCGGCCACATCGAGGACTAAGGTCTCCATACATGGGTTGTGCACGCTAACCACTGCACCACTGAAGCATGCCCAGTTAAATTTTTTTCTGGGGTTAACAATAAAACATTATTATGATATGCTATGACGTATATATTTTGCAGAACACAGCCACACTCATGTTGAGAATTTTTTTGTTTTATTTATTACTAAATAAATTATTTTTTATTTATCAGTTGCTTGTGTCTTTGTGGCTTCTATTTCTGTTATGGCTTTTGTTTTCTTTTTTTTTGTGTTGGGGCTTTTGTTTTTCACTGACACCTCTGGGCCACCATAGGAAAATTTCCCTCAGACCAATGTTATTGACTGACAGATAGCTAGTAGGGTAAAACCAGCTAAGTAGTAAAAACCAACTACTTTAGTAGAAATTTTGTAGAATGAGTAGAAATTAAATGGCTTTTTTAATACTAAATGTATTTCCTGGGTTCCCCTCAACTTTTCACGAATCAGAGTAAAAAAGACTGATGATTATTTTTCATTTATGTGAAAAAAGAACTCATTGAAGGCCAACACACAAAACAGATAGAAAGAGACATGATTTACATGAACTTAGTGCTCTACCTTATCAGGTGCAGGGATCCGATAAGGCTGTACAATGTACTTGCTTCTAGTTTATATGTAATTACTATAATAAGTCTTTAAATGTTTAAATATGTCTCACTTGCTCAAAGTTAATGAGGAAGTTTTCCAAGGTTCATAGAAATAGTCTAATGTAAACCCCATGATTCTAGAATATCCTTAAGTTGATCGTCTCTTGATTTGAGTGAGTATATTAGGGCTGGGCGATAATTCAATAAAGATATATATCGATCGATAGACGTGTGGCGCAAGAGAAAAAAAAGAGAGTCGATAAAAGTTCGATAAAAAAACGCAGTTCTCATTGTAGCATAGCAGGAAGGTTTATGCTAGTCACTACTTCCTCCTAACCAATTGCAATCGCGGACCCAGGCACGCCGTCACAAAGCGCCGCCCTCTCAAACCACAACACAGAGCACATGAAGATGTCGCAGCAAGGAGAGGCGGAGGAAATTGTTCCAAAGCAGGGTTTTTGTAGTTTGGCAGTATTTCGGTCATGGCAAGTCGGACAAAAAACAAACCACCAAAAAACAAACCACAGTCATCTGTAAAATGTGTAGGGAACCGGTGAAAACAAAGTCTGATAACACAACCAACTTTTTTTTTTTTTATCATCTCAGCCGCTCACACCCGCAGGAGAACGAGCTGTGTAGGCCCCGGCGCGGCTCTCCTCCGAGGAATCTTCTGGAATTTCGGGAAAATATTTATATATATATATATATATATATATATATATATATATATATATATATATATATATATATATATATATATATATATATATATATATATATATATATATATATATATATATTCAGTTCTAGGCAGTTTCCCACGTAGTTCTAACAGTTGAGAGAAAAATGCTGAGGGGCCAGCAACTTCAAAGTAATAACTCAGGTTAAAGCAGGAAACTAAGCTGAACCATAACAAGGTGCCAGCAGCACCTCTAGAAGAATAGGGGTGAGAAAAAATACCCCATAGAAATGCTAGACTAAAGGGTGAGTTGATTTTTGTTTGGGTTTTTGTTCTTGTTGAGTGGAGTTTACATGGTAGCCTAGTCCTACAATCTTTTAATTACCACAAGCTGGTGGTGTACTATTCCCACCCAAATAGGGTATTCTATTTATGTATTTGTTATATTTATTTTGGTCACTTTTCTGGTCAATTTAGTTTATTCTTTGTCAGTATTTAATATCATAACTCAGGTCTCTTAAGTTATTTTTCTTTAAAACAATTGTTATGGTTAAAAAAATTGGTTAAATAAATATTTAATTGGAAGTCTGTGTTTGTGTTCTTTACTAAAATTAAATCATTTAGCAATATCATAAAAAGTCCAGGCAGAGCTGCACATAAAATATGGTTTCAAATCTTTTCAATAATTATTGATATCGATCAATATGCATTTTTTTTTTATCGATAAGCTTTTTATCGCCCAGCCCTAGAGTATATACAACAATTTGCAGATGAACTAAGATTTACATTTGAAATATGAAAAACAACTCTATTATCTTGTTTCAAGTGCATAGTATTAAATAATATTATTTTAAGTTTAAAAACTTCATAAAATTTGTGTTTAGAAATTGTGATAATTTGGCCTTATGTTTGGCATTATGGTTGCTTTTATAGTAAATGTTTAAAGTAGTTGGGAAGCGGCTGTTCCAACGGATGCAGTTCCAAATTCCCCCGAGTGGTGCCCAACTTTACATGAGTAATTGTGGTCAATGTGACCGGTCAATTATCAAGGGGGCGGGAATGTTGTGGTGGAAGGTTCGCAAGCTTTTTGGTTATGGCCGATGTCTCGGGAGCATCTTGCTACCCAGTTAGCAACATAGTGCTAGTAGGTTCCCAATGGGAAATTACATTAGGACCTAGTAACACTTAGCAACGGCACTGTCAAGGAATGGACAGCTGAAACATGGAAGAGGAGGAGAGTTTAGTGTCCGAGGTCATGGATAAGTCTCCTCCGTCATACATTTTTTATTTAGAGGAGGAAAGCGGGGTCGAAGTTGTTGTGAAAGAGGACGCCAGAGCAGCAGAAACTTGGTTTGGTGTAGAGGGCTTACAGCCGTACATGTTTGAGCTCTGGCCTCGCAACGCTGCCAGTGCTGTTAGCTCTACGCCTGCCAAAGACATAGACGTCAATCCCTGTGAACACTGGGATAAAACTCAATGGTAAAGAAAATAATGATTCTTATTTCTTATTTAGACCGTTGAGTATATTAGCTGCAACATATGAATCAAGATGCTATGACCGAAAACATCTGATTGACATATGGCTGTTGATATATGATTGGCTGAATTTAGGTGTACAAGCTGACATATAACTAACTGGACTGCATAAAATAACAAAGAAAAAAAAAAGATTTTAAGACAGGAATTTTTTTAAAATAGAAATTCTCTAACTTTTGTGACAGTATGGTCTGATCAAAAGTACATTTATGTACATGTTTAAGCCGGAATGTTTTGAATGACTTCCCTACAACTTTAGCAGACGAAAGGTAACATGAATTGTGTAGTTGTCATTGAAGGAAATAAGTCAAATACAGGTCATGATGACATTATTTGACTTGTCTTTTTTAGCTGTTAAAACATCAAATCAATAATTACAACTATGAGATGCTTTAAATTTAGTCAAACAGTTGCATTTTCAACCATTCCCTGGTGCTTGGTAGATGCCATTGAAGATGTTATGCTATAAACTAACCAGTTGTTGAAGGAAGGTATCAGTGATGGGCAGTAGCGCCGCTACATGTAGCGAAGCTATTAGTTTAACTACATGTTCCAGTAGCTTGGCCGTAGCGTCGCTGCTTTATTTATCAAGTAACTTTCCTGTAGTGACGTTATTGCTTTGATCAAATAGCGACGTAGCGTCCAAAAACGCTACAAAATCCAGGACATAACTAAGAAATGAAACCAGGTTTTCTATTTTGAAACAACAATCAGCCACAAAACTACTGTCAATAGCAGTTTCAGCTGATGCTCTTATAAGTGGCGTAGTAGCACAGGCACACTTAGTAGGGTTAAACAAGCGCACCCTTTCCAAGGCTGTCGTTCTATTGGCTGGAAAGGTTGCTAGGCGACGATCCAACCGGTCTTTGTCAGCCACGTGACTGACACGCCCCCTAGCGCCATTTTTGTGGTGAGCGGAAGAAAAACAAAACAGCAGAAAACAAGAGGAGAGCGCTGCAAGCCAGCAGCGAGGATTATCAGTTAAATGGAAAAGAACAAGAAAACTGAACGGATACCCTACCCACACAAACTTTCTAAAGCTGCTAGGGAACGATATTATATATTATTATTACAGTGACAAGGCAGATGTTGTGGGCAGTTGCACAGATCGCTGCAGTTATTAGAGTAGTTTGTGCTGCTCATCAGACTGAACGGAAAAACTTGTCAGAATTTTTGCACATTGATAAGTTGCACACTGTATTTGCTGTTCACTTTACCCAGGCCTGTTTTCACTGGGATCTGCAGTCTTCTTCACAGATATCACCTGTTAGGTCATATCTCTACGGAAGACCACAGTGAAAACAAGTCCAGGGAAAATGAAAATCGTCTAATTTAATCTAAAGAGCAATCTGCTATATACGAGGGAGGAAGACAAAGTAAAACATTTGAAGCTTTGCACTGTTCTGCATTATTTATGTATTTGAGATTTTGTATTGCATTTTCATAAATTCTCTGCTTGATTGAAAAGATAATAACAACGCTTGTTTCAAATTTCAAACTCCACTCTTTATTGTACACACATTTTTACAACTTCAGAAACATTGTTAATATTTGAAGTGATGGTGAAACTTATATTTGTTTTGCTGTTATTTTTCAAAAGTAACTTTAAAAAAAGCAAAATTCTATTTGTGTGAAAAGAAGAATAAAAAAAGAAGAAGAAAGTTGAAACAGTACTTGATCTGGCATTCATTTATTAGCTGGTTTCTCTGTGAAAATTTCAAAACAGTCACTAATCACTGTGACTCTATGTCCAAAGGCCTCCACAAACGGATGAGGCATAATTTTGTGCAAGGTGTCTCTATCTGGCCACACAATTGCACGCTTTAGATTTGCATATAAAAATGACACCATTTCATTGAATGTTCTGTACACTGTCTTTGGTGAAACACAGAAGAGATAAGCAAGGTGTTGTGAGGGCAGATCCAATCTCAGACGCATGAAGGTTAACAGAAGCATTTGAAATGGACTGAGAATTTTATTTTGAGCAGACATGAGAGGCAGCATAAAATTAAACAAAGCCATAAAGGTCACCAAGTTTGGTAGACCCGTATAGTACTGGACTTTTTCATTAGTGTCTCCAAAGAAGCAATCAGAGATCCGCAGCTCATCAAGTTCACGCCGCAGCTCTCTGTTTTCTTCCAAAAGATGGTTCATCTCTGCACACCTGAGCACACACAGGTTACATTCTGTCTGTCCTTCCTGACGACCACCTTCTGTGTCATCCTTGGTGTTTGGCCGGCCAACGTTTTCAGCAGCCTTCTGCGTGTCAGTCTGTTGCTGGTTAGGGTTCTCTGTCGCCTCATGTGTTACTTCATCCTGTTGCTCAAGGATTTCATCAGCCCGATGGAGCCCCGTTTCAGTTGCTTGCAGGGCATTCTTTTTCAGCTGTTCCCGATAACCACGTCTTAAAGAGCGGTCTGTGTCTGTTGGTTTGATGTCAGTGTGGCCCAGATGCAGGGATGGAGCCCAGTCTGGGTCAGTCTCCATCATCTCATATGCGGGTTGACCTGCAAAGTAGATGAAAGGTTGAGTGTTTTACACATCTATTCAAAACACTATATAAAGCACCTAAATAACAGAGCCCATTAGATTAGATGTGTAATAAATTAAGATAACCTTATGTGTCCCACAGTGGGGAAATTTGCTATACCGAAACAGCACAAGTACATCGGACTAGTAAGGCCAGAGGTAAATAAATAAACTGAAAAGCTTACAGACGAACAAAGGATTATAATATACTTAAGTAGATTGCACAGGATAAATAAATACAGTGAGTTGGCTGACGAGTGGGTATGTACAGTGTTTTTATATGTACAGTGTATTTACATATATTTATTCATTTAAAAAAAAATTGTATTGCAGATTGTGTAAATGATTATATACAGAGAATGCATTATTTATTCAATTTTAGCGGTCTAAAAAAGAAATAAACAAAACAAACATCACTTTCCGCTTCTCTTCCACAGCATGTTTCAGTAGGTTTACATGAACTCCTGCAACTTTATAAGCAAACCATTTCAGCGTGTTGATTTCTATTAGTGTATATTTATAAGGACTTACCTTTTTGAAAATGCCGAGAGCAAACACGAGCATGAGGAGATATTTTATGAAACGTGATGTCTTTCCTTCTTACAGCAGCGACCCATGCAGCCCGACGCCTCTTTGTTAAGTCCTCTGTCTGCGGTCCGTATTTTTTTTTTCCAAGTGGGGAATACGAAAAACCGTAAGGCCCCATCTGCTGTTTTCTGTCTAGAATTACTGTTGCATCCTTTGACGCAGCACCAGTGTCCCATTATTTCCAACGGAAGCAACTAGAACACCTCTACTCTCTGTTAGTTTTCTGTTGTTAGTTGCTGCTGTCTCTTCACCACAGAAATGGCGCTAACTACCCTAAATGCATTGCGCTTTTGCGGAAGTGACGCACACTGTCAAAGACCGACTGCAATCTGAGAGAGAGCAAAAAAAGCAGAGCCTACGGATTTGCGAGCGTATCTGAGACTCGAGCAGAGCGCGGTTTGTGCGCGAAGAGAAGGAGGCAAGCGAGAGGAGAAAATATATGTGCAAGAAGCATTAAATCTGAGAGAAGAAACAAAGATTTGAGAGAGAAGAGAATATATTTGAGAGAGAGCGCATGTTTTAAGTGTGAGCATTATAGGTTTTGAGTGCAAGAAGATGAAATTATTTTCTCAAATTGAAATGATGTGCTCTTGCATTATGGCAGGATAATTCTCCCATATGTGCCACTAAGATACTCTAATTAGAGAGCATTACTGAAACTTCGATATTGTAATTTGATTACCCTAGTTTACCTGACAGGATAATTACATAAATCTGTTTTTAGGCTTTGCACAGATAAGATTTTTTATTTATGCAGGAACAGCTCTACCGTATATAAAATAAATAAATAAATGCACAATAAATAAATAAATAAGCATTCAATTAATTGCCCCCAAAAATACAATGAATAAATATGTACTGTATTTTCACAACCATAAGGCACGCCGTACTAAAAGGCGCAGTCTCAGTTTTGTGTGCCATTTCTGTATTTAACACACACATAAGGCGCACCGGACTATAGGGCGCGTTTTTTTATATACTGGTACATGTCCTCTACTACCTTTAAATACCTCTACTGCGTATTTAAAAATACAGCGGGAGCAAAACTGAGTATGACTGTGCTTTATTCATGTATTTATTACAAAGTATTAATCAAACCTGGGAGCTGGCCGTGAGACAGACACATTGCAGATGACAAAGCGCTGTGATCACTCCTAAATTAACTTAAAATCCTGAAACCAGCCGACGGAATATGTTCGCTTTTATTACCGGTATCCTGGTGCCTGCAGTTTAAATTATTTAGATGAAAAACACCTGCCAGCCACCGCGGTGAACCCGGAGGCTACCCAGCCTAGAGGCTGCTGTTGAAGGGATTTCTACTGTCGGCGCACCGCTGGTATGTCGGGGTCTGAGCGGCTCCGACAGAAATAGTATACTGTAGGCACGATGATAATCTGGATGAACTGACTGCAATTATGAAGTTTTCAGGTGGACTTTCTCACTTAAAAACATAGTAAAACTACTTTATTCCCACTGATTACAGCAAATATAGCTGCAAGATTTAGATTATTTAGATGAAAAAACACCTGCCCAGAGGCTGCTGTTTAATTAAGTTTTCAGGTAGAAAAATAGAGCGGGAGCAAAACTGAGTATGATTGTGCTTTATTCAAGTATTTATTACAAAGTATTAATCGAACCCATCAAAGTCATCATCCTCTGTTTCTGAATTAAACAGCTGCGCTAAATCAGACATGCCAATTTCCCCTTCTTCGCTGTCAGAGTCACTTTCCGTGCCGGGCGGCTCCTCAGAAATAATGCCGGCTTTTGCGAAAGCTTGAACAACAGAGCCAGCAGACACGTTAGTCCAAGCATCAACAATCCATCTGCAAACTGTGGCGTAACTTGCCCGGCGCTGCCTTCCACTTTTCGTGAAACTGTGGTCTCCGTCTGTCATCCATCACTCCCACGCCGCTCGCAGCATTACTTTGAACGGCCGCTTCATACCGATGTTGAGCGGTTGAAGTTCCTTTGTCAGACCTCCCGGATAACAGCAAGCACAGCGTAAATTTGTTTCACCATGTTTTTCACATCGGCTGTGAGATGGGCACGCATGGAGTCACAGATTAACAGCGATGGAGATGCGTGGAAGAAACAAAAAAAAAAGAAAAAAAACCACCTGGTCATCTCACATACACCTGCCTCAGCCACGCTTTCATCATCTCCTCATCTATCCCGCCCTTTTCATTTGCCTTAATATCATATGTCATCAGAGCGCTGTATCTGTCTCGCTGTCAGCTCCCAGATCAGCTTCTCTGATTGGTTGATGCGGCGCTTCCAGCAGCAAAACTTCAATTTTTCCATCTCGAGCTGCAGCAGTGCGTTGGCGGCGCGTCACATAAACGCTCCCGACGCGCTGCGCCTGCTGCTCAAAATGCGCTGCGGGACCTTTTGCTGCGTCTATACGCAGACATTGACTTTGCATGTAAACTCGCTGCTTCTGCTGCGCCTGCTGCGTCCGGTTCACACCGATGTTGAGCAGTTGAATAACAGCAACCACAGTGTTAATTTGTTTTACCATGTTTTTCACATCAGCTGTGAGATGGGCACACACGGAGTCACAGAATAACAGCAATAGTGATGAGTGGAAATAAACCACCTGGTCTCCTTACATTCAGCCACTCTTTCATCATCTCCTCAATGAGGTGGTCTCAAAAGTCCGCAGTTACAACACACATAGGGCGCACCACACCAAAGGGCGCACCGCACATTTTGAGGGGAAAAAAAGACGTTTATGTGCGCCTTATAGTCGTGAAAATACGGTAGGTAGAAATTAAATTATATGGTGAGACATATATATATATGTATCACTTAATTAGCTTCTTTATTTTTTTCACCTTCTTTTGTAAACAGTTTCATTTGTTACTTGAATCTACTGTTTGAGGTCTGAAGAAGTTTTCTCTAAGGGAGACCCTAAAGAAATAAGATGCCCTTTGTAGGGTTTTGTTTTCCCTAGAGATGTCCATTGAATGCAAACTCATAGCCATGTCTTGATGTGTAAAACACTACATAGTACCTTTAATTTGGTTCTAATAACAGCAGATTGTTTACTAGTTTGTCTAGTAGTTATTGCTTCAGTTTTTATTTTAATATGCTGATCATAAAGCAATGTTTACACTGTGATATGTCATTGGCTGATCTTTAATAAATGTTTTAACTAGTGTGTCAGACTCATTTTGAATTGACATTAGCTTGGTACAACGTTAAGTAGCTTCTGATGTAGTTAAGCTACTGTTAACACATTAGTGTAACTAAGCTTGCTATAATTCTTTAAGTGGTAGCTTTTGTGTAGTGAAGCTTAATTTATTGTTGAGTAACTGATAGCTTAGCTCACTACACTGGACAAGTAGCTTGCCCAACACTGGAAGGTATATACGCTTGTTTGGTTACCTGGTCAGTTTGCTGACCATTCACCAGGGCAAGGCTCTATTGGGATGGTGCCACATGTCCTGTGAAGTAAAATTACAAAAAGGGCAGGTGCTCTCACACCACCTAGTGTCTATCTTGGCAACAGTTCAAATAACAAACCAAAGTATTAAAATAATTTTTGAGAGATAAAATTAAGACAAAAATCTGTATGTTAGACTGTACTGATCTGTAAAAAAGGAAGATACCAGAGAAACTTTAACCGAGCACAGAGGCTGGTATAGGGAAAGGCTTAACTAGTCCAGAGTGGCAGATTCCTTGAATCAAAATTGTCTGTGCATAATCAATGGGGAAAAAATCAAATTACTTCAAAGGGCTTTTCAGGTGTTATTCAGGAGGCCTTTGGATTTTAATTCCCCTCATTTTCGGAGGCAACTGTGCACCCCCATTAGTCATGTCATATTCTCACTCAATAGTTGTACATAGATCCGCAAGCTAATGCCATTTGTTAGGCTGTATGTTATAGGTAAACTTCACTATTATTTCCAGATAATGTGTTGGCATACAGAAGTTTAAAATAAAACCTCTACTAGCCAACATATTTCTTTTTTTTTGTTTTACAGTGTCCTGTCTGGCAATGTGGCAATAAGAATAATTGTCTTGATGCCAAAAAGAGCCCAACAGATTTTACTTTCACAAGTGTAGCAGTATGGCAATTGCCATACTGCTCCACTTGTTTCATGCATATAAATTGCTTTAATATATTTATGCAGGGAGTTTTACAGTTTATATGGACACTGCAATGTAAATAGGTGTGGAGGCTGCAGAGCTTCTGACTGGAAGAATGTGAGGAGGGTGGTGAGGACAGCGGAAGGAATCATTGGGGCTCCTCTTCCCTCCATTAAGGACATTTCATCACAGCGCTGTGTGTCCCGAGCCCGTAATATCATCAAAGACCCCTCACACCCCCACCATGGACTGTTCTCCCTGCTGCCCTCTGGAAAGAGGTTCCGCAGCATCCGCTGCAGATCCACCAGGTTGTGCAACAGCTTCTTCCCCACTGCCATCAGACTGTTGAACCTTTGATCCACAATCCGAACTCTGCACCTATTGCACATTATCGGGCATCAAATGCTGCTGAACTTTTAACTTTTAGCCCTTTAAATTGTTCATCTCATTGTATTTTTCAATAACGCATTTTTTGCACAAATGCCATTTTGCACTGAACCACTGCAACTTGCACACTGTCTCTTATCCTCTGCACTGTTCACACTTTGACCACTGCTGCACTTTTTGTATTTTTCTATAACTCGTGCCATTGTGAAATATCAATGCAACGTTCATAAGCTGTATGTAACGCAATTTCGTTCTGTATGCACCCTGTGCATACAAAATGACAAATAAAGAAGTCTAAGTCTAAGTCTAAGTCTAAGTCTAAATAGAGCAGAAAAACAGAAGCAGAAAAGGAAAAAAGAAAGAGAAAAGATGAAAGAAAGAAGAGAAAGGAGACAATGACAAAACATTTTCAGTCTGCTTCATCACCTGTAACGAGATGAAAAAAGAACAGCACAACCTAAAGACATGGTGCGAGACATACAATAAATCAACACCATGAAACTATCGCTAAAGTAATATTATTAAGTCTGACATGTACTCTGTGTTACCTGAAGATACGGATGTGGGCTTTCTGTATGGAAGTGAATCTCTGAGTACCTGGAGCCAACCACCTGTAGTTGTTTGTGAGGGTGCACTTGTGCATGTAAAGTTTATCCATAGAAAAAATGCTCAATAGTGGTTGTGGAGAGCTGGAGAGGCACACCC